TCCTAGATATAGATCGATACAGTTCCCAGTGGGACACCCTGTACAGTATTACCAGTGAAAAGGTAACGGTGACTTTTAAAACCTGTTTTTAATGTTACATTACTATTACTTTCAAGGCATATAAAATTTGTTTACAAAAATAAAAATTTTAAATTTTTGAAAACAGCATTTTTTAGGGGATGATTTCTGGGCTCATATAGAGAATTTTCATGATGAAAAAATTTTAAATTAAATCACCTGTGCCATTATGTTTGTTGGTTGACCAGAACTGTGAATTAATTATAAGGGATTTTTTTTTTGTAAATTCAGGGCTTTATTGTAAAAAATTTTTCAATACATTATCCATCGCCAGCCACAATTTTTTTTCCATCTTTCTGGCAGCGTACAGATTCTGCGTCGAAAGAACAACTGGTCTTTTTATACTATCCACCAATCTATCCAATTTTTTGTATCTTCGTAAGATTGAAAGCGCTGCTTAGCCATGGATCGGAACAAGTAGTATTCCGTAATATCTGGTGAATGTGGTGGGTGGGGTAAAACATCAAATTTCAGCTAAGTATTTTTTGATTTCATAAGCAACATGTGATCGAGGGTTGTCATGTTGAAAAATTACTTTATCGTGCCTTTGCTTGAATTGCGGCCGTTTTTCCTTCAATGCATTGCTCAAATGCATCAATTGTGTTTGGTAGCGTTCACCAGTATTGGTTTCATTCGGCTGAAGTAGCTCATAGTACGCAACACCAAGCTCCCACCAAATACAGAACATGAACTTCGAACCATGAATATTGGGCCTTGCCTTTGATGTTGCTGCATGACTAGTCAACCCCAAGATTTTCTATGCTTAGGATTATCATAGTGTACATATTAATTTTTCATCGCCAGATACGATGCAAAAAACCCTTTCTTTTTGTTGAAGTAATTGTTCACACATGAAAAATACCTGTTCAACATCTTTCGGCTGCAATTTGTATGGCACGCAATTTCTTTGCTTTTGAGTGCATTTAAATGTTTGGAAACTGTTGTGTGATCAATATTTAATGAATTAGCAAGTTCATCTTGTATTTGACATGAATCTTGGTCAAGTAATGCTTCCAATTCGTTATATTTGGTTTTTTTCGGTTGACCAGGGCGTTCTTTGTCAGCTATATCGAAATCACTACTTCTAGAATGTCGAAACCAATACATTTTTATTGATGGAGTATGTTCACTGTAAGTTTCCAACAGCACTAGTTGACTTTCAACATCATTTTTCTTTGAATTAAACAGGAAAAGTAAAACTTCTTGCAAATGGTGTTTTATTGGCTTGTAATTCGGCACAGTCCTGATATATTATGCTATTAATATTCCCATTTTCATTTTTTAAGTTCTTTTTGAACCAAATTTAATTTTCACTGCACAAATGGGATCTTGCAAACTATGAGATATAGAGAAATAGCTTAAATTAACAAAATAGCACAGAATCAACAAATTAAGAATGCAATATTATTTGGATTTTACTAAAAAAAAAAAATGTGAATCTCTTTTTACTCATTAAATAAAGTAACAATATTATTTCTCTTTAAATAAAGTGCAGTATAGCATATATGGAAAAATGGAAATTAATATGGAGCTTATTTATATTTTCACAAACTGGAAATTTTAAAAAATCTACTTGGAAATATCGGAATTTTTTGCTGAATAGTGTACACCTTGGATACACTAAACTGACAGGGATGTTGTTGTTGATCAAATCTGGATATCCTATATATGATGAATTAAATTAAAAATTCTTAAATTAGAATGTTTTATTAGATGCAGGAATGAGAAAATAGTATAATATAATTGAAATATAATCTAAGTAAAACATTTTAGAGCTTACTTGGCCAACTGTATACTGTAGTAGACCTGAAAGATTTGCATACAATTGGAAACTGTTCACTGAATGTGTGTATAATATTCACACTTAAAAAAATAACACAAAAGAATTCTTGGAATGTGGCGAATAAATATGTTAAACTTATAAACAAATTAGCACATGCCTATTGAATTATTTTGCCTCAGTAAATCTGTACAGTTTTAAATGAACTACAAAGGTAGAACTTTACAAAATAATGTCAGTTTTTAATATAAGCTTTTTGGCTTGGAGGCCTTAAGGGAGATACAACAAAACTTCTTTTTTTATTTCTTTGAGAGTAATAAAGATATCAAACTTAAATTCAGTATAATATGGTGTACCTGCGAAGGCTACTACAGAGGCTTCATAAATTTTCACATGCCACATGACTGCTCAGCTTAAGCCACCAACATTGCAGAGCTGGTACTGGTAGCAAATAATCCCTAAGGCACGGTACTTTGAGTCTTGATTAAGACTTGATTAACTAATCAGGCAATTAGACTGTGAATATATAGAGAAATCCAGAATGATTGAAGTGTTTGGAGATCGCAGCCTGTGCCTGTCTCTGTCAATACTACAGATTTTTATATGCTAACAGTGGCGGCTTGTCAGGAGACGCAAGTGACGCACCGCTTCACCTAAAATTTCCGTTTGGTTGTGCAATTCAAAATTATGTTTAATTTTATATAACTTTTATAATTTAGGTATAATTTTATATTGAAAATGCATTGTGTCTGTTTAATACGCAAAAATAAACAGAATAGTTGCGCAGTGAATGCCTTCTAAAAAAACATTGCCCTCGTTGAGCGCGAACATCAATTTCGGACCTTACAACGTATATAGTATACACAAGTGAGGCAGATTGAAATCAGTCTGTATTCTGAAATTTACGGCAGTTGTCATGGCAACGAGGCGGCCAATACGTGATTAAACTATGGCGTGGGGAACGAGTGACGCAGAAATTGAAGCAGCATCGCCCATCGCCTGCCTTTAACAGTTTATATGATACACGTCATCCAGTGTACGATTATAACGGTTATTTGTTAATATATGTTTTGTATAATAATTGTCGAAATGTTTCCTATGTATGATCCAGTATGTATTTTATTGGAAAAGCCATTTTCCAGATGGAAAATTGAGGACAAAAAGGATTTTTTAAATTGTGAGAGACCTGTGCCTTATTCTCTCAATATGGAAAAAAGGAGAAGTTAAAAGACAATGTGTACGTTCGAAAGTTTCGGAATGAATGGTATTTGGAGTATAAGTGGTTGTGTGGAAGTGTTCATTTAAAAGAACGGAATTAGAAGGAATTTAACAATTTAGGAAACGTCACGCTAAGTTATCATAACCACAAAGCTTCTTTGGAACATACATGTACAGTGTGCGTTAATGTTCGCAGAAGTCCACAAGCCGAACTAATATTTCTATTTTTTATAAAATCTATATGAAAATCCTTCTCACGAACGTCAGTTTTTCAGTAATATTGCAAATGCAACTAAAAATTTCCAGATTAAAGCCGTTTGACCTTGAAAATTTGAAAATTTTCACCAGCGGCGCTTTTTTTTCTTTTTAGTCAATCAATGAATATGCTTCACCTATTCTCAATGTCACAAGCCACCACTGTATACTAAAGATGGTGCTAGAAACAGGCTGTGTTCCCTAAACGCTTCAATCATTCTGAATTTCTCTGTACTATTATAAAATAAATCAGTATATGTACAATTTAATCATGTGATTACTTAACCAAGTTTTAACCGAGACTCAAAATACCCGGCCTAAATCTTGGCGTTGTCAATATTAATGATTCGTTTACAATGAACAATGGCAAACCGTTATGTTACCTATGCTCGAGATAATGCGATTGCTGATTGGTTCACAGCTGGTGAAACAGAGTGTTGTGTTTTAATGTAATCTTGATCTTAATAATTTTATTTTTACTGAAATATTGTTGCCAACATGAAGGAAATAAAATTACTGATCCAAACTAAATTACTGATCACTTAGCTTGTAATCATTTATGAAGGCTCTGTACAAACTAACACAAAATTCAGTTTTACAACAAATTAACGGCACAAATATGGGCATCATACCTTAAATGTAAAATAAAAATGTAAAATCTTGTATAAAATTTACATTAGATGTTTTTAGTTTTTAATAAGAAATTTATTTATTTTTTATTTATTTTATTTATGACACACTGCCCTACAGGATTAGAAATTTGAAAATTTTATAAGAGTATACATACACGCCCAAAATATTGTAATGAAATCAAACTTACTACTGTCTTGTGATTTGTCAGTTACCTTCAACTCAAAGTTGGACACAGAGAGAGTAACCGGCCATCAAAGTAAGCTCCCAAATTTCGAAATGCTCTATGTACACGTGTTCTTATGTGGGACACTCTGTGTATTATTTCTTCTCATTTTCTGTCAAATTTCATTTTTTACGTTTAGAAATCATGGTGTAACTTCAGTTTAAAAATTCCATTACCTGTATATTCATAAAAGTGAAACCTCTTAACATGTGTAACAGGAAAACTGATTTTAATCTTAACAAATAAAGAACAGTAAAAGATACGAAACGAAACATGATACTATATGTTTTATTATAAGAATAGGATCGATAAGTTTGTACACTGCTGATAAAACTTGATTTTATGACAGATTGTTAGTAGCCCCTTCAGGTCTGCAACAAAACCTGGTTTTGAAGTAGCAATTAATACAGAGCCTTCATAAATAATTTACTGCAGCGAGATTCGAGAAAAATTTGAGAAGGTCTATGTTGACAACACTCTTTCCTTCCTTTGTGTTTCGATTGATTTAACCAAAATGACGTGTTATGATATCTTTAAAAAACCAATGAAGCTACTAATATATTTTTCTTAATTTTAATTTTGACACCTTGGATATTGAGACGCATAAATAAAAAAAATGTCAAAAGAAGAAAAAAATTGTCTTCTACTAAAGAATCTGTAATTAAAGGCTTAACCTATTTTTTAAAGTTCTATCAGCCCTCGAAGTTTGTTCATTTAAAACTGAATTGTGCTATATAGCACACAGAAGTGTTTGTAGTAACATTGAACAACTAATGATAAAGTGGTTAATAATTTAATTATCATTTTTTTCAGGTGCCAGTAGCCTCATGGTTTGATGATATGAGTGACTCAGAACTTTTAGATCTAATTCCTTTTTTTGAAAAATTAAGTAAAATGGACGATGTATATACAGTGTTGCGTAATTCTAATCATCCTTATAATAATAGTATTTCACAAACAAATGGTCCTGCAAACCATACATTAAATGTACAAAATAATCATTCACCTCCAAATACGTAGCGAAATATGTTTTTTATAGCTACTATATTAGTAATTGTTATTATTTTATTACAAGTTTTCTTGTAGAACACTTTGTTTAGACTAACATAAAATGTATTATTTTATAATTTAATATCAAAATAATGACATAATCTTGTTAGGAAGTATGGTAAAGATAATACATATCCCTCGATCTAAAATGATACAGGGTATAACTTAAGAAAATAGTTTAATCTGAAATATTACTTTTTGTTTACTTATTATTATTTTTTTTTTTCATATGAAATATTTCTTTTTGAAATGAAATACCTGCAATAGCTGCTACTTAAATTACACCAATTGATAACCGTACTAGGATGATTCAATAAAGTATAGTTATCTTCTAAGAAGATAGGTCTATATTTTGTGCAAATATTATCAATAGCTTCAGTAATTTCTTGTACTATTTATATTTTTATATTAAATGACATTTATTTATTTTTAGTTGTCAAAACTATATAAATTTAAACTTATAAGGTTTGAAATCCCTATGTGTTTCAGAAATTTTTAGTATCAAATTTTCTGTTCATTTGTGTCCAATTGCCAGTAAATTTAAAAAACATTTAAAAAAAAATATTTCATTACTAAAGTCAGTCAATTTTGCATGTGATTAAAAATGCAAATTAATTACTCGGGGGACAATAGAACTGTCAGATAATTTTCTTATAAATTTTTGGTAACAAACGCTATGTTACATATTACAAAATAGGCAATTAAAAGTTGGTATAGTAGAACCAGATTATTCAGACACGATAATCTGGAATTCCAGTAAACTGAAGTGATGGAATAAATTCAATAATCTGCACTACATTTTATAAACCAGAATATTTCAAAATATAGTCTGAATTTTAAAGTTTCTTTGAGGTTGCAAAGCTTCTTTTAATAATTTTTGTAACTGTATTTTTTAAATCTGTATATAAATAACAATCATTTAATATATTTTTTCCTCATTTTTAATCTGTCGTCTATGATTTTTCAATAGTTCAAAATATTCACTAATTCAAACTACATATACAGTGTGACCCTTTCGAATTAAAACACCGTTGTAAAATTAAATTAATTTTTTTTTCTAACATAAAAGTAAAAAAACTTGTGACAGTCAAATTTATTTTCAGTTATCAGTCTATTTTTTATTTATTCAATTTGACAAAAATTGATTAGCGATTATTTCTATTTTAAATCTGACTAGAACACTGGAATCTGCACACCCTCAATTAAGTGTGTATTAAATTTTATGAAAAAATATTAAATGCTAATTGTAAAATTCAATTAATATTTTTTGATCATGTATGTTCTTCCTGAACGGTATAAGCAATCTATATGATAATTAAATTAAGTAAACAAATATAATGTTCACTAATATGTTATTTTTAAGTATTAGACTACTGAATAACAAATTTGCAAAAAAATTATTCATCAATCATTTAAGAATCATGAAAAATATTTCGAAAGCAATGTAACAAATGCATAGATGAAATGGAAATTTTAAAATTTTATTTTAGGGTTCCAATTTTTGTGGTTTCATAACTTGTCATTATTTGTAATTATAATTAAATGGTTCACCTGTTAAAATAAAAACTTATTTTTTATTAAGAAATGGTTCGATTAAGAAATCCATTAAAGTTAAAAATTAGTGTTTAATTTGATACTGCATATTAAAAAGAGCAAATCCGTGAACGTTTTACGTGTTTATTTAATTTATTAATCGATCTATAGATTGCCTAATCGGTTTAGGAAGAACATAAATGATTATATTAACTTATAATTGGCAATAAATATGTTTCACAAAGTTTAGTACATACATAATGAATGGAGGGGGTTCGTGGGGAGATATTAAATAAAAAAACTCCTAAACAATTTTTGTCAAATTTTATAAAAAAAATAATAAGTAGATTATGATAACTGAAAATAAATTCATTATTATAATGAGTTTTTTAAATATTCTTTCAAAAAAAAAAAAACTAAACACAAATGTGCATTTCATTCATGTATACATACAATTCCATGTGCCAATAAAGTAAGTCGGCTGTCTGTTGTTTTACTGACTTTTGAATGGCTCTGACTAGAAAATTCATCATAACTTTCTTGTATTGTTAAAAAAAAACAAATTCAATAATAAATTTCAATACTTGTCTCTAGTATATGTTGTAGCTTAATTATTTGCGAAGTTAGACACATAGATTTGACAGTATACTATGGATGGAGCTAAAACCGACTTTCAGTGCATTGTAGCTGTTCCAACATGATCTGCTAAAATGGCAATGATTTGCCCTAAGTCACATGACCTAGAATACAAATTGCGCGACATTGATTCTAAAAGAAACTATTTCTCATTATGAAATTGACTCTTATTTGATAGTAACACGATAATTAAAAAAACTACTGTAAAATGTATATGTAAAATATGCAATAACACTTAACACTTAATATCACAGAATGGATATAACAAATTGCATTTGCTAAGCTTGCAAATTCCCCAAGTCACATGACGGGAGACTATACCTTGTCCAACGAGAGAATGGACTTGCTTCGCGCTTTGGCGATTAGAGTGGGAGAAGTCTATAGCGAGCTACACAGGACCTATTTACATTAAATTTTAGCCGTAGGCGCTTCTTCAGTGTAGTAAGTTAATTAGGTGTAATCAATTTATCAGCGTCATGTAAAATAAACTATAAATATGTTTAAAATAAGTCATTTATTATTGAAAAGGTAAAAATATTAATTAAAAAAACATTTTATTATTTAAAACATAAAAAACTAGTCTGTACCGCTGCTATCAGAATCACTTTCACCGTTCACATTAATAATTATGGGTTGTACCTCATCTATTATTCTGTCAACGACGTTGTCAATTTCCCAAAATTTGTGTTCTTCCGATACCGAGTGTCGAATAAAATTGTTCCAATGTTCGGCTGTTACTCGCGCAACGCCTTGAAGCAATCTCTTCACCTCTGGTAATTTGAAAGATGTATTGTTTGTTTTTACGCATCCCTTGACCATTGACCAAACCATTTCAATAGGGTTTAGTTCACAATGATATGGTGGAAGTCTGAGCACAGTTTTATTCTGTTCTTTGGCCGTTTCATCAATCACATATTTGTTGTATTTCTCCTTTTCTCCTGCAACAATACGCAACAATTCTGCTTTCACCATTGTTTCGTCGATTTCTTTCCCTTTAATTTGTAGCCACTCAATTATATTATTTTTTCTCCACGAAGTATTGGGTATTTTTTCTATTTTTACCGAATGATACGGAGCATTGTCCATGACAATTATGCAATTATCATCCAACATCGGTAAAACCTTTTGGAACCATTCTAAAAATGTGTCTCCGTTCATTTCGTCATGATAATCTGCTGTATTTTTTTTAGACTGAAAACATAGCAAACCACCAGGAATGAATCCAGCAGCGCTGCCAATATGCAATACGATTAGGCGTTTGCCTTTACCACTGGGATTAGCAGGTCCCGTTGAAAAGCCTCTGAGAAACGCATCCCTGTGTGATTTAATCGTCGTGTCTATCCAAATCTTCTCACGTACATCCCCTGCGTTAACCCAGGTTTCATCCAGGTAATAAATAGAGCGACCTTCTTCGCGGTATCTTTTTATGGCTTGCAGGTAATCTCTGCGCCACATTATAAGGTCCTCTTTCTCAGTAAGGAAACTCTTTCGTTGTCGTTTAACAAAAACAAAATTCAATTCATGCAACAATTTGTGAAATGTTGATCACTTGAATTGTGGTAAGTCTTCGTCGTCATTTACTGCTTGCATAATTTTGTTCAATGTCGGTAGTTCCTTATTTCGATAGAATTCGTGCACTTTTCTCCTTATAGCATTCTTATCAAATTCATTGATCTTTTCTTTAAAAGAGAGGCGAGCTTTTTTTAAATTTGGTTCTTTTACCTGACCGATTCTATTATACTCCGCTATAATATTTTTCACTGTATTTTTTCCAATGCCCGTTTGTTTCGTTAACTCTAAAATCGTCTCTTTGTAAGACATTTGTGGATTGTCTTTTTTTACTACAATTACTTTTTGATTTTGATGCACCACCTGAAATTATAAATAAAATTTAAATTATTGACTGGTAAATATAATATACGTTTTAAAGCACATATAATAAGTATTTATTTATTTACCTGGCCTCTTTTATTCTTCTTAATTGGCGATAATCGGGGTATTTCCTCTCTCGCAGCAGCCATTATGTTATTAAGTTTTCACAATTGTCTTCAATCACTATTATATATTCGCTTATTCGCATTCCACAAGATTTGTAACTTATTTCGTAACTAAATAAAATCACCGTCACTTGCTACACTTCAATACAAACTGGGATCAGGTATCAGGTGCCAGGTAGGGATCGGGTCAAGCAAGGCACCGGCCCTGGTAACTACTGAGCCAATCGCGCCTTGGCAGGGATTGAATAGGCGGAGTCTGACCCAAAACAAACGAGTTTTCGTTCCAGCGCAAGTCCATTCTCTCGTTGGACAAGGTATAGTTTCATCTCACTTTACATCTTGGCACCTTACCTCTCTCTCTCTCTGTCTCTCTGTCTCTTTCTCTATACATTCCATCCATAGTATACTGTTAAATCTATGGTTAGACAAAACTATTTCAAATGTTTTGCATTATTTTATGAATAAACTAATGCTATAGTAGTGAAAATATAATACAAAAGTAACGAACATGTTTTTTGAATCATTAAATTGGCAATTTTGAAATATACAACTGTAGTAATAAATAACGGAACATTTTAGAATTACGATTTTTTAAATTTTAAAATCATTTTAAATACAATTTAATATATCAAAAGTCTAAAAAATCATTGGCAAAAATATTTTGATATTTTGTACCTGTTCAGAATTAAAAAGCTTTTATTAAAAATGCTCATAAACAGTTTTCGTAAAACGAATAGTTTTTTAAATTTGTTTAACTGTGTAAGTTCATTCTAAAATTTGAAAAACTAGAACTCCAACACCTCTTGCGTAATTTCATTCTAAAATTTAAAAAATCAGAACTCCAACACCACTTATTCCATAAACAAACTGAAAAAGATTAGTTTTCCTTAAAAATGTTGATGCTCTGAAGCTCCTAGTGGCACTGTCACTTGGTATCTGCGCCACTGGTTAACATATTTGTAAGTTTCTGAATGAATTTTTGCTTCTAATTAGATAAACTTTATAACCAAATTTCATATGAAAGTTGTCCCCAAAATATTTTTCCGGGTTTGGTAATTGCAAAAAGATAGCAGTTTCTTTTTTCATTTTGGCAAATTTATTTAATCCAGTTTTCATATTGATAAATTTAAATTTAAAAAATTTGTTGTAATGTGAAGTGACTTGATGTACCAACTTGATTTTGATATACTTGCTATAATTATTGGTGACTGTAAATTTCGTCTTGGTGTTGGACAAATTTACTAAATATGCTTTAAGAACTTGCAAATCATGCAGTACATCTCATTAATCCGACAAGTACCCTTTATTCCGATTATTACTGCAACCTTAAAGAAATAAATTATTGATTGTTCTTAATACTTTCAAACAATTATTTAAATCTTACCATTGTTGCAAGATATTTATTATCAGCGGCTTTAGTAAGAAAATCATTGATACTTTCTAGAGAAAGAGGTTCAAAATTTGTTTTAGCAATGTTTTGGCAATTATACAGTGCGAAACATCTAAAAGCAATAAATTCATAATCTCAATTATTGTGCATATTTATAAAAAAAAAACTAAATTTTTAAGGAGGAAGTAGGGGCTTTTCATTACCATATTCAAAAGTGCTATGGTTTTCATATTGCAAAAATTAAAAGTTTGTTTGGCAAAATTTTTTACAGCAAACTAAAACAAACACAATTTCAACATTGGAGATTTTCAAAATGAGTTGTTTGAAGGTCTGGCAGTATCTTAATCGTAAATAAAAATATTTTCTAACGTTTTCCAACATCTGAGGCGTGACCGAGGTGCAATCATTAATTTTTCTTCTCAAGTCAGCTGTATCACATGGCTTAGTTTTGTATATCATATTTTTAACATATCCACATAGAAAGAAATCTAAGGATGTGAGATCAGGAGAATGTGCTGGCTATTCCAGCAATCCTTGCCTCCCTATCCACCGATTAGGAAATGTTAGGGTGATGTATTGCCAGACATTGATTCAGTAATATGGTGGTGCTTCATCCTGCTAGAACCATTTGACATCAGCTGGAACTTGGAGGTTTGCTTGAGCAGGATATAAGTTTGGCAAAGTTGGCACGACATTATTTTGTTGTATATAATTATCTCCATTCAAATTGCCATCAATGAAAAACTGACCAATGATATGGTCTCCAATTATTATCTCCGCCCAAACATGAACCTTTTCAGGATTTTGCATATGTAATTCTTTCATCCAGTGAGGATTTTCATTAGTCCAGTAGTAACAGTTTTAACGATTAACATGGCCGTGAAGAGTACAAATAGACTCAACAGAAAACAAAACATTTTCTAGTTGGATAACATTGTTATCTTGTTCACAAAAATATGTTATATCAAAATCATCCTCATTAAGCTGCTGAGTAGGGTTCAGTTTATAGGGATGCATTTTTTTTTTTTTTAATACACGAATAATCGAGGAATGGTTTCAATGCTGAAGTTGCTTACCCATTTAAACTATTTGGGTTTTCTTCAAACTCGAACAGTCCATCTATTTTGGTAATGTTACTCATTGTATTGAAAGCTTCTTTTTATCTGCCCTACACGTCCATTTTTGCGAAACTGCTTTTCAATTTTGTTAATTGTACATTGGGATATAGGTGGAGAATTAGGAAATTTTTCTTGAAAAAGGCGAGCAACTTCGAACTGTGATTACATTCTATCTCCGCAACCAACCATCTGTATAATTGTTATTTTATGCATTCCTCTTAAATAAACCATGATTAGGAATTATTACAGTTAGCAAAACTCAAACAATACATAAAACACATATTGCAGTCAATTAATTAGCAATTTTGATAAGTTTATGTCTTCTTTTTAATCGATAATTTTTAACACAACTCTGAAATTGTGTTTACTAGCATGCAAGAAAAAAATGCTGTACTTTTTTATGTTTTTGTTTGTTGTAACAAATTTGTCAAGCAGACCGTTAATTTTTGCAATAAATATGAAAACCTTAGCATTTCTGAATAGAGAATGAAAAGATCTTTTAAGTGAGGAATCACAAACCCCTACTTCCCATTTAAAATTTTTAGGGTTGCAACTGCCACTCGAAGGGGGTTGAATTTAATTATGAAATTTTTACATTGCAGGATGTCATTTCTGAATCTAAATTCGACATGTCTCGGAACTTTTTATAAATATGCACAATAATTGAGCTACTGAATTTATTCCATTTGGCTGTTCCGCATTGTATTTAAACTTCTATATTTACTCCTTGAAATATGTGGATCGAAATAAGCATACTTCAATAATGAAACCATATAATGTTGAAGGTTTATATTTTAGAGATAGTTCTGTAAAATATACGAACAAAACAGAATCCAAGAAGGAATTTGCTTTCTTTACCCTTTCGTAGTGCAAGAAAGATTCATATGTCGTCATATTGACTTTTATTGGCCAATAAGTTTAATGAAGCAATTTTTACAGTTTCTTTTGTCACTACTGGTTATTTCAGTATCATTGCTGGTAATGTTAAACATATCTGATTTTCATTGACAATATTCATTTATCTTTTTGAATATTCTATTTCAAATTACTCTTAAATGTAATAAATAAATTTATGTTAGGTAAATTAAGTCCAAACAATCTATTTTGATCTCTCTCGCTGTACAAATTTGGCTACATATTTTAGAATCACTCTGTAATTGAAGAAATGCAAGTACATGTTAATCAAATTCACTTGAGCCCTGGCGCATTGGCAAAGTAGTGAAGTGTAGAACTATGGGTTACCTGCTGCCTGTATTTCCATCTCATTCTACATCTGCCCTTTATTTTTGATTTGTGCATTTCAGGAATCAACTGAAATTTGAGAACTTGTATAATGAGTATATTATAAGACTGTCACGAAAAAAAATTATTGCTATATATCAAAAAATATTATATTATTGATATATTGATTGAGTTTTAAGGATAAAATCAGTTACTATATTTCTAATATCAAGAAGACTACCTGTATATGCTGGCTGATTTAAAATTAAATTTCTGTGCAGTTGAACACAAGCAAAATTTTTTAACAGGAATGAAAATGGAAAATAAAAAGTTTTCCCTTTTTTCAACTCCATTAATGAACTGTATCCGATTTTATGGAAGAAATATATATTATTTTTTAAATAGAACACCCGTGTGTATATGGATTATTTTGAAAATTAAAAAAAAAAAAAACATCCACTGTTAATATCAATATGGAGTATTTCAAAATAAAATCAGAACTATTGGTAACTTTGCTATTAATGGAGGTATAAAATTCATAGTGGTAATTTTCGTACTGATTGTAAACTAAACAAAAATTTGAAAATTGCTTTTAAGAGATATTTTTTGGCAAAAGTTGTTGTAATTTGCGGAAGTCAAATATTTTTCTTGCTGCTGCAAGAATTAAATGAAATACTTTCAAGATCAAGCTTTTGAGTTTTGAGTTTATCCACAAATTAATTAGATATTAATAATTTTATCAGTAAACGGAATGTGAGGGTGTGAAGTATAAATTTTTCTTTTCTTAGGTGTGGATTTCTCTAATATAAATATAAAATATTTTTTATATCTGAAAGAGAGAAATAAAAAATATGTTTAAAATATCAATAAAATATACACAAATATTTTGAGTTCTTTTTCAAATTTTCAAAATTTGCATTTCAAATATGGTTATAAATTTGAACAATAACGGACCAATTCTTTATAAAAATTAATACATAGGTATTATTATTAAACTACACTTATGGTATCATATATTCAAAATTCAATAATGTAAGCATAATAAATGAGAGAAAGTGTTAAATTGTCTAATATTACCGTACTCCTAACTGTATTGTTCTGTTTAAATATCCTGTAAATATATAGGTAAATAAAACCTTATTGTTTGTATTATATATTGTTTTAACAAGTATTTTATATAAATATTTTGTAACATATTTAAATGGATGATGTGCTTTATAGTAATTACTTAGTAGAATAGAACCCCATAAATTATAATAAAAATACCTAGGTACATATACATAATTTATATTCACATTTTTACAAATTTTCAAATTTATACCAATTTATAAATCTTGAAATTATAGTTTCAGCAGATATATTGACCAATGAATTATATTTATACAAGAAAGCTTGTATGAAAGTTTAAAGGTAAAAAGTACTGAAAAAGAAAATAGTTTTAAATGTATCTCAAATTATTTTGTAATAAATTGGTGGCTCTATTTCACTAACAAATATATGTGTTTTTTACTACCTATCTTCCTTCATTTACCATTAACTTTGGTATTTTTTTAATCTAACATTTTTTTATGACCTAAGTTTTTAGAAAGTTTACAAAATGCAAATATGGAAATTAAGTTTATACCATGATTTACAAAAGAAATATATCAAAATTCTTGGAAAATGGGTTGCCCGATTATTTTCAAAAGGTACTTAATACTAGGTATAATACATATAATACTATATTAACCTAAAATATTTTCTATGACGTGGTGTTGCCTATGCTATGTACCTATAGGCTTGCCAGATCTTGCAAATTTTTTCCATGGAAAATTTTTTCAGCTAAGCCAGGTAGCTGAACCAGGTAGCTTGTTTATTCAGCTTCAATTTCGATTATCGATATCTCGGCGACAAATGGTCGTACAGAGAATTGAAAGGCAGTTTCGAAAACTGGAATAAATTTACATTTACATGAATTTTAAAAAACAGAAAAAAAAGGTAATTTATGGTTTTTTAGAAATTTGACGGCTAAATTAGAAATATTTACGAAAAGCATGACTTTTACAGTTCGATATACTCAGAAGAACCCTGCGAAGTTTGATCTCGATCTAGCAAACCGTTTGCTTCAAACAGTTAAACTTTTGAAAAAAATTAAAGCGTCACGTTTTTTGAGTTTAAACACTTCATAATAATGCTTAAAATGGAAAAAAGTTTTTTTGAGGTTTTCTCGCATTTTTACCGCAAATAATGTTTAAATTGATGAAGAAGAAAAAGGGTAGTTTAGAAGAAAACTGTTTTTTAAGTGATTACAGACTGCAAAAAAATTAATTAGAAATTTGTCTCAAACAAACGGTATGAATCGGGGCCGAAATCTGGTTTGGGTTATTAACTTTAATTTTAATTTAATTAAAAGTTGATGAGCAGAAGCATAGGATGAAAAAACCGAATCGTGCTGGAAACAATTGGATTTTGTTTTCTTCAATGTCAGGTTTTCCAAAAAAACATAAAAAAGAACTTCAAAAATTCAGAAAATTATGCACTGAAGATGAATTTTTCGAGACAAAACGTTTGAATCTGGTTCGGGCTGAGGCAGTACAGTATTGGGGATCATGAAGGCTTTTAAAAAATGTAATAAAATTTACAGGGTCGTATTTAAAAAAATGAAGTTGATGACGGCCCTGAATATGCCATTCGATAGAGGGCAAAAAGTGGCCATGAGAAAGTGTTCTTCTTTTTTCAATATCAGCTCGAAAAAGGCTGAAATTAAACAAAAACGGATTTCCAAAATTTCGGCCTTTTTCAAATATTTCGAAAACTAATCATGTTAGCCTTGATTTTTTAGAGGCATAATGTTGGTACCCTGATTACACAACTTTGCCCCTATTTAAGCTACTTCGTACCTCTTACCGTTTCCGAGATCCCTGTAGTGAGAAGCG